TAATGTGTATGTTTTTCATTGCAAGCCCACAGAGTGGAAGCAACGGTTTTCTTAATTTTAAAATCACTGGGCATATGAGGAAACAAAACATGTTTTTCACATACTGGTAAGTACAATCATAACATAAAAAGGAACCATAGCTTCCTTTGCTTTAACACAGTAGCTCCCATCCCTAAAATAAACTGTATGCAATGGAAGTGTCTGTTTTTAAATTGTAAGGACCCTCTTCTATTTGTTTAGGTTGCAACTTTATGCAAACTATCTGGGAGATAAAACCTATTCAATGATGAACTCAATGACGAAGCTGAAGAACAGCTTTTGAGATGTCATGGATCCCACGGAAAGCATTTAGAGTCATACAACTGAAAATTTCCATATGCCACTCAACCTCATTAAGTTTAATTAACTTCATTGCTAAATCATCAAAACATGCAATGCAGATGTACTTAGAACAGCTTGCTGAATTGAGAGGAACACTTTATGGGGCAATTTTGTAAATTATGTTGGAAACATCACTAATAAAAACAGCTTGACATCCTTTCACTTTATTCACAGTGGCAAGATTTTAGGTGTTACTTATAGTGCATTGGTCTGCATTATGAATATAGCCTGGCAGTAAACAATCCACACATAGGGAGAACATATTTTTAGCATGTTTACTGTTCAACTCAGCTGGTTAAATCAACTGACTTGATTCTGACTTTTAATGCCCTGAGGAAAAAAAGGGAAGTGAAGAAATACATTTAACGTTTTTCCTCCCCTTTCTCCTTTTCTAACAAATATGCCACAGACTGAATAGTAGGTGATTTTTGTAAAAGTCAGTACCTGCCATGAGGTTGGGCAGAATGCATTACTGTGTGATTGTACCAGAGGTGGGTTCCTACCAGTTTGCACCTATTCGGTAGAACCGGTTCGTCAAATCTACCGAACCGGTTAGAAGAGGTTCCACCAGTGGACCCGGAAAGCAGGCCACACCTACAGAAGAGGTTCCAAAAAATTTTGAAACCCACCATTCTCTCTCTCTCTCTCACACACACACACAGACTGACACAGAGAGAGAGAGAAAGAGAAAGAAAGGAAGAAAGAAAGAAAGAAAGAAAGAAAGAAAGAAAAAAGAAAGAAAAAAAAGAGATAAAAGAAAAAAAGAAAAAGGGGACAGAGAGACAAAAGGAAGGAAAGAGAGAGAGGGAGGGAGAGAGATAGAAAGAAAGAGAGAGAGAAAGAAAGAAAACACATGGCCGGCAAGCCACTCCCACCAGGTCACATGGCCGGCAAGCCACTCCCCCAAAGGAGGCCACACCCACAGAGTAGGTTCGGAAAAAAAATTGAAACCCACCACTGCTTCTAACCAAATGGAAGATTAAACCTTTTTTTTCCCAAATGTTAGCATTAAGTTAAAGAATGTTGTTTAGCAAAGAGGGTGTATGGCTTTGTGGCAAAGATAACTTTTGAAAATATTTTCAAAATGTGACATTTTGTCCAGGATGCAAGCTGGATCATGTAATTCTTCCCAAGAGGGCAAATTCTACGCAAAGCACCAGCACCACCCGTATGAGTCATGAAAAAAAAATTGTAAAAATGAGCAAGTCATTTAAGCAGCTGCAGTTGGAAACAATTTTGGGGTCAGAACGAATAAATGTTATTTTCAGTGAAAATAAAATCGACTGGCCGCTTTAAATAAAAAAATATACATTTGCTATTTTTTAACCAAGGAGCTTAGTCTTGTTGCTATTTTGTCTATAGCTTCAATGTTTTAGCCCCAAGGCATTTGGATCATAAACATGCAACTATAAATGCATGTATACAAACACAAATATGCCCATTATTTTCTTATGTGGTTTCCCCTGTATTTTCCTACACATTTCCAAACATTTGATATTTGAGAAAAGAATTTCCATTAGCCACAATCTTATAGACATAAAGCACCATCCTAGGCAGATGGAGGGCATCCAAATTTTGGATAATGCAAACTGATATATTTTCTAATGCGGAAGCAAAATTTGGTTCAGGGCTTTTTTTTTTGTATTTTAATTTATTTTTCTTTTTAAATTTTGTTAATAGTTTTATCAAATCACTGCAGAATGGAATGTAGAAAATTGTTTCCTCTGTTACTGGATAGATGGATACTTTCTAATATTCCTAAATTGTCTTTGCTCTTCAGGTCAGGCTAAGATAGGATTGTGTTTGTCTTAAGAAGTTGTCTTCTAATAAAATAGAGAACTCTTTGGTGTTGATCGACATCCCGGTTTGCCTCTTCATGGACTCTAAATAACCTAATGACTTTTTTCTCTCATTGACATCCTAAATTTTATGCTTGCAGGCTCTTTAGAGTTCATTTAAATGAACATAGGTAATATTATATCTAACATATTTAACTTCATGTAACTGATTTTCTATGCAAGAGGAAGGATGCTTTTGTCTTATCCAATCAACTTTTTTTTGGTAATTTCCCTTGATGCCCTAACTATAAAAGAAAATATAAGTTGGCTCTCGGAGTTCCCTCTTTGAAAAAGACCCCTTTTTATTAGAACATTCAGAATAAATCGTAATTAAATGACCTTCTGCCTCAGTTTGCTTCATTGGGGTATGTGTAAATTGAGGCACCAACCTAATGTTTGAGGAACGCCATAGTAAATAAACTATCTACATTTCTTTTGGCTATTAAATGGAGAATCACTTTTAAGGGAAGACAATTCATTGTGGTGTTGCTCTCTTGTCCTGGTAAAGTAAGTCTATTTTATTCATTGGGCTAAATTATAATTCCTTGATTTACTGTATATTTTAAAAATTGCTAGCGGGACATATGAGCCCCTTATCAGAAATCTACCAACTTAGATTAAACCAATTCTAGCTATAATCCCTAAAGTATTGATATATTCCAGTCACAATTGGCAATCAATGGAAGTAATTCTGAAAAGTTAGAAGAAATTAAAGAACTGGCAAACCTTCAAAAATAGCAAGATGCTCTCTTGCTTGAGAATCAAGCACTAAAGTAATTGTGTTTGACAAGGAGTACAGAGTGTACGATTGCAAATCACGTATAAATGGTGACACAGTCAGTATGTAATTAGAATGTTCATTAAAGATGGGGAAATGAATAGATAAAACTTATGAAGGAGAGATATATGTAGGAATGAATTCATAAGGAACCATTCACTAAGGCTGCAGTACTATTACTATTAGTCTTCTCATCGTTCCTATCACCCGTCTCTTCCCGCTTATGACTGCCGGGCTGTAACTTTGTTTCTTGTTTCCTTATGATTTATATTGATATTGATTATTCCTGATTGCTTATTTGTACCCTCTGACTATCATTAACTGCTGTACCTTATGAGTCTTGACGAATGTATTTTTTCTTTTTATGTACACTGAGAGCATAATGCACCAAGGACAAATTCCTTGTGTGTCCAATCACACTTGGCCAATTAAAATATTCTATTCTATTCTATTCTATTCTATTCTATTCTATTCTATTGTTAGTGCAGCATTTGGCAGTTATAGAACATTCAAGCCGGGAATCGACTACAATTTTTTTTAAAATGCAGGGTTGCATTTGACAATGACCCAAGTTCTCTTTTAAACCATATTCCAAATGCTTTCCAGTCTTCAAAAACATCCTTTACAACTTTAAATCCACTTTTAAATCGAGAGACAAGATTATTCTACATTGTGTAACTCTCTATGGGTTTTTTTTTCCTCCTTTTTCTGGTGCTTATATCCTCTCTGCTTTATTGTTTCCTCTGTAGCTCACTAATTGTTATAGAAAACAAAAGGGGATAACCTAGGGAATGAGAAAGGAAGTCCTGATCTCCTGGTCTCGTTGCAAAGTTAAGAAAATTTCACCTGCCAGTATTTAGATTTTATAAAAGGAAGCTAAGGAGGGTGGGGTAAAATAAACCATCTTATTTCAGAAAGCTGGGAGAGAGATACCAGCTCTTTGTTCTCTCTTTCTATTTTCAAGGATAATTTAAAAGAAGAAAGCACTTTTCCCCAACCCCTAGTATGTCATCACAGAAAACCAACAAGTTCCTCATCTGGGGAAATGCGAAAAGCAGTGCTTCTCAAAACATAAAGCTGTTGGGACCGTCTTCATCTGAAAGAAAAGGGCTTTGTCTGAGATCACAAAGATTAAAACAAACAAAAGTGTAGAAAGAAACTGAGAGATGGAGGGGGGGGGAGACGAACACTTACCACTTTAATTCTGCTGGGTGGGAAAGGTACCTGAAAATCTCCCTAAAATAAAATAGAATTCATTAGATTATCTCCTCCTGGCTGCTTCTCCCTTCTTCCACTGTTCAGATTCCACTTTAGCAACAGGAAAGGTGGAAGCACTTCCTCAATAAAATTAGAAATAGCTTTAGATTTTGCACTGTTATTCCACAGCAAGAAAATCCTAGCCGAATGAATCATTCCATCTCTTGGTATTCATATGGAGATGAATTCTCTTCNCTCTGTAAACTGCTTAGAGAGGCCTGAAAGGCCTATGAAGCGGTATATAAGTCTACTGCTATTGCTATTGCTATTGCTTCAGTCATACATTTACATTATTCTATTTCAGTGGTTCCCAAACTTGGCAACTTTAAGACTTGTGGACTTCAACTCCCAGAATTCTCCAGCCAGCTCTGCTAAAGGATAATTAGTGGAAAAAGTCTGATTGCAGAATCTTTATTATACCTGCAAGCGATATGTTGGAGCCTTCAGTCATACATTTACATTATTCTGCTGGCTGGAGAATTCTGGGAGTTGAAGTCCACAAGTCTTAAAGTTGCCAAGTTTGGGAACCACTGTTCTATTTCATCACAATTTGACTGATAAAAGAGTTGTGGCAGGAATCAAGAGAGTCATATATCATCTCAGAGCTCTGTCAAAAGTTAAGAGATGTTAGCAGAATTTCTAAAAAAGTTTTATCTACCATGCTCGTCTACTTATTTGTATCCAGACATACTGTATGTTAATCTGGCGCTAAATTGAATTTAGTTTACAAAGAGGGGGGGATGCAGTCATTGCAAAATTTCCTCCAGAGGGTGTTCTATCACTGGGACTTCAGTCAACTGCAGACTCAGGGAATTCTGGCCGTGATCGCTGACTGTAGCAGACCGGCTGACTTCCCACAGGGTGTGTTTGACCAACTCTGAGAACGTCACACTAAAGCAGGATGAGAGTTTCTTACTGAGAAGGACATAAAGGATAGGGTTCAGGCAACTATTAAGGAAGGCAAAGCCGATCGAAAGAGGCATGGCATTTTCAAGCAATTCATGCAAAAAGACGTTATGATGAGCTGACAGTTCCAGAATGCTAAATATTTGATATGGGGTCCAGCAAATAAAAAACACCACCACAACAACAAAAATAGTCCAGAAGAGCCTGCTGGAGGTTAGAACTGTACTCTTTTTAACCTGGCTAACCAGAAAGGAATAACAAACAATCATAGTTAAAAGCGGAAAGAGATAGCCACAAATGAACTTTATCCATGTAAGCGTTTGATGCCTGAATACGATAATATCCAAGTCATGGTGAAAGTTGTAATAGCATATGGTGACGTTTTGGGGTGATATAAGGGTGTCCTTGAAATATAGGGCTGGGCTTCCAAGAACTGTAGCCAAAATCCAAATGAGTAGAACCAGGATATAGGCATTCCCAAGTGTCCGATGCCTGTAGGAGAAGGCAGGGTGGATCAGATGGACGTAACGATCAAGGCTGATTGCTGTCAGAAAGAAGACACTGGCAAACATGTTGAGCACGGAAATAAAAGTATATGCTTTGCACAGCCATTTCCCAAAAGGCCAGTGGAAGCCCATGAAGATGTAGGCAATATACAGGGGCAGGAACAAAAGAAATATTAAGTCTGCAATTGCCAAGTTGAGGAACCAGACGGATGTGACTGTCTTGTTCCATTTGAAGCCCATGATCCAAATAACTATTGCATTGCCAGGAACTCCTAAGAGAAAAGCCGTCATCTGTAGCACGAGAGAAGCAATTCGTGCATGACTAAAGTGGGCCTGGGCCTGGAATGGCTCATCTTCCTCATAATCTTCAAAGTAATCGGTAAAGTTATCTTGGTACAGGAAGTCAGCTGATGACATGGCCACACTCTTGTCTCCTGGAAACTTGGATCTGGAGAAAAGGGATAGAGCAGGTAGTTACAAGTATAACAGTGGTACTTTCAAGCAACTTACTGGTATCTGTAGGCTCACAAATGCTGCTCAGTTATTCAACTTTGTACAGCAGTTTTCAAATATTGATCTACGTGGTAGATGGGCTCTTATTTAAAAGATATGGGAATGTCGTGTATCAGGAAACAGCAAGGTATCATTGCACCAACTGTAGGCAACATAACAATACAGGCAGTGGTGGGTTTCAAAAATTGTTGGAACCTACTCTGTGGGTGTGGCCTCCTTTGTGGGAGTGGCTTGCCACCCATGTGACCATATGGGAGTGGCTTGCCACCCA